AATAATAATAATAATAATATCGGATTATGCTTATTTGACTTTAAACTTTATCATATTACTATTCATGTATCATGTTGTTGTTTTTTTATTTAAGTCAACCTTCACAGTAAGCCTAACTTGGAGGCTATGTATTGAAGTAGACATTTAAACAAAAAATGAAAAATTTTAATAAAATTCCTTTGTCATATAGATTTTTATAACAAAAATTAAACAATTTTGTTAGTTATAGAAAGAAATATTTTCACTTATATAATTCACTGGTGAAGCAACAGAAAAAACCATATAATTCTGCAAAGCTTGCAGTCGTGGCAGAATTTCAACATGTTCTTAAATCCTAAAATAAAATGTGTTTTAGGGAAATGTGAGTAAGATGTAAGTCATTAATGACTCATTGCTTTCAGAAAGTGAATAATTGGGTAACTTACACTGTGATTTGTTTTAAGGATTAGAATTTAGATAAAAATCATCATCTTCTTTTTCCTAAATATTTTGTAGGGTTTTTTGCTTTTGTTTTTACAGTTTGTCAGGGAATGTTTATGTTTCCAGAAAAAAAAAGTAAGAATTAACAAGCATATACAAAAATGTGAAACCTTTTCTGAGCCAAAAGACTAATTAGGTACCTATTTAGTTCCAAATTTCTACTGTCGTGGGATATAAATCATGCAAATCCATTGCTGCAAGCCATGTTTAATGTGTATCTTTCACTATAACAGTGCTACTTAATTTTTAATATTCTATAAAATGACTGTACAATATCCAATTTTAAGTTGCTGGAAAGAGTGAAAATGCAGTTGGCTTCTTTTCTGGAAGATCCTCAGTATCAAGACCAGCATTCTTTGCACACAGAGATCATAAAAACATTTGGGAGAGTTGGTCCTAACGCAGAACCCAGGTTCCGAGATGAGTGTAAGTTGCATTTTTCTACCTTTTTTCCTGAATTGTAAGATCAAAGCAGAAGCTTCTCTGAGGACTTGTCATGTGTTAAAGCCATGCTATACTTTATCTTTCATGTACTGAAAGCTGAACATGAAAGAAATTAGTTATAATGAATTGATCGGTATTGCTATTAGTGGGTGGTTTTTAATACTCTATACTGATTGCTATAAGAGATATGAAAAGTAACTCATAAACTTATTTCACTTATTTTAGAAACATTTCTTAATAACTTAATTTCAAAATACCGTGTGCTGCCTTAGAGGTTTGGTTTTTTTTTTAAGGAAATTTTTGTGTTTCTAGACATGTTCTCATGAAAAACTGCCACTCAGCATGCCATTCAACAGGCCATTCAACGTGATACATCACTTTGTTTTAATTCACAGCTTGTTGATCTATTAGATGATCTGCATGATTATCTACTAACACATTATTTCTAATTTCTGTGGTATCTCTTTTACTGTGGGCCTCAACCTTATGACAACAATTTCTTTGGGTAGCATCAAAGCACCCAGAAATTATTCCAAAAGCATATCACTTTTCACTTCTATATGTTGGCTCTTTAATTTTTAGCAATTTGACATCCTGTAGAGAGGGCCACTTGAGTCAGTTTAGTTTCTAGTACAAAATTAGATTTTCCAACAGGCTAATTATTGCATATCCAGCTTGGTATTATCTCTTACAATTTTTAAGATAAGAGTTGTCAACAAAAAGTATTGTCAGGATTTGGACTGCAGAGTCCAAAAGGTCTGTTGATATTATGGACTCTTATCAAGCTACAGAAACACCATCATGAGATTCTTTTTTACCAGGCAAGTGTACTCATAATTAGTTAATCAACCAACAGAAAAAGGTTAGTATTTTAGTTAGCAGTAGGGATAATTCCCCATGTTTTAACATCACATTTACAGGTGATCCTAATAGGACCCCTGAAGGTGCTTTGATTCTGTTGAGGCTGTTATAGTGCTCTGAGACGAGGAGTATAACTCTTGGTTCCTTGATTAAGGCATAGGCTAAATAGGCAGGGGTCTTTGGTGTGGGCCATGTTGTTGAGTTAAAACCTCTATAGAGTATGATCTAACCTTTTTATGTACATTCGAAAGAAAGATTTGTGATAATCTGGGAAGAATCAGTCTATCATTCTTATAGACTCTGCTCCAATTATTTTGTTATATCTTTGGAGTCTTTTTTCCTCAGTAGTTCTAGGACTAATAGTTATTTCTCGCATCACACATAGTGTTGGTATCTTAATATGTCTTTCTAGAATTTTCAAGAACTTCTAAAGCTAATCTTTTTTTTTTCTTTTTTTACAGTTTTAGAGTAGATGCCTACCTATTAACTTTGTAGGAGTTGAATAACAGAAGAAAGGAATTTTCTTATTATAATAGTCCCAAAATAACAGTTAAATGTTGGCTTGGGAAAAGATTTAGTATAGAAATTCCCACTGCTTGAATAGGTCTGGTAAACTATTGTCCCTGAAGCTTCCTACAACTTACTGCCGGCAAGTACATCTCATACAACCTTTCACATTCTGGCACAACCAGACTTTTTTTTTTTTTAAGGACAAAAGTTTTTTTTGTTTTGGGTGTGTGTGTGTGTGCGCGCGCGCGCGCGCACGCGCTTCACTTCCCAATCAAGTGGCTTCTCTTTTGCTTTAAAACTTTACCCTGAGGGGCCGACCCCATGGCTCACTCGGGAGAGTGAGGCACTTGGAGCGCCGAGGCTGCGGGTTCAGATCCTATATAGGGATGGCCGGTGCACTCACTGGCTGAGCGTGGTGCGGACCACACCGTGCAAAGAGTTGTGATCCCGTTACCGGTCAGGGAAAAAAAAAAAACTTTACCCTGAGGAATTTAATGTCCTATGTTAAAGACTAATGGTAAAATAGAACCCATATTAAAAAGAATGCTATATTGTTATCCATCTGTATTTATAAACAATTACCTTAGGGAGTTTAGAAGAACAGAGAATTTCTGGGTGGTGATGTCTTTCTTGGAGTGTCATTTTGGATACTTAAATATTTGTCCCTCTATTTCTTAACTCTTAGAGGACATTAGTTCTTTCAGTGGCCCTTGTTCTATACCAATGTTTAGTTATTACAAGACCTTTTGGTCTTGATTTTATTTCAGAAGTTAGTTTTATCTGGAACACCATACAGTTTTTTGTTTTCAGCTTTTTTACTTTGTAAGACTCTCTGAAAATGTTCATACTTTGGAGATTTTTCTTAAGTGGCATTTTTGTATTTCAGATTACTTTTCTCTATGTTCCTTATTTTGGATCTGAGCCCATTTACCAAAAAGAAAAAAGAGGATAAGATTTCCTTTACTTTGGCTATTGGATCTACCCCAGAATATTTTTTGAAACTGAAATCCATTTTTTTTTTTAATAAAATCTCCTACTGATTTCTTTTCTTTTTTTTTTTTTGCAATTTTTATCTTTATTCAATCCAACCTGAAGAAGAAGGCTTCTGCAGTAGCCTTATGTTCATTTCCTATTTTTCTTTTCCACTGAACATCAGTTTTAGAATTATGCCCACCTAGGTTATTAAATGTTATCTTGGTCTTTAATATCTTACTGCTTTTAACTATTTACCTCCGCCCAAGGATTTAACAATTAAGTGAATTAATTAGTACAGATGTGGTAGCCCAGGACAATATGTATGTGGTGAAATCTCGAATTCTGTAGTAAATTTCTGGCTTTGTGAGAATTAGGAAGGTCCTTAATTATGGCCTTTAACTGTCTCTAGACTAGAGTTTAACTTCTGTAGGTTTGTCTACTAGTCAAGCAATTTTAAGGGGATATTGTGCAGTGTGATTGTTGTGTTTCTGAGAAAAAAAAAAAATTGAGGAAAGGTCAAAGACTCAGGAGCAGAAGGAATAAAAGGGCCATGCATTAATAGAAAAGGTGCAAGGAAGGTAAGTTTCAGAATGTTTGGGCAGAAATGAACTAGAGAGTCTTTGAGAGAAACTATTTTAGAATCACCATTTTGTTGAGGCTTCAGCTTGCTTATTAATGAAGCTGACTACTGAATGTTTTGAATTTATGTCTTCTCATTTTTTCTAGAGCTCCTCTTAAGTTTAATGTTATTAATTTTGACAAGTCAAAAGGCTCCCTAAAGGGCCAGCCCGGTGGCGCACTGCTACAGTGCACCGCTTGGGAAGCGCGGCAGCGCTCCCGCCGAGGGTTCGGATCCCACATACAGACCGGCCGCTCACTGGCTGAGCGAGGTGCGGGGGCAACACCGAGGGTTGCGATTCCGTTGCCGGTCCCGGTCCGGTACGGGCGCAACACTGAGGGTTGCAATCCGTTGCCGGTCACAAAAAAAGACAAAAAAGGGGGGAAAAAAAAAAAAAGGCTCCCTAAAAATAGCCATTGTTGTTCTAAGTTTTTATGAGGTTTTTTGCCATTTACAAAGCTAAGCATGAAAGTTGTGATTATAGCCTCAGTTTATTTAGTAAGCAGGAATTTTTCCAGGAGAAGATTGTGCCTTTTACATATACAAACTCAATGCAACCAAGAAAGAGGCCACTACAGTTGGTCATCAGTGTGTGCTTATGAGTGATGTTTTGCATTCTCCAACCAGAGACCAGAAAGGGGCCAGATGACCAACAATTTAACAATTGCTGACTGCAGAGCCATTTCTCTAAAGAACCCCGCTTTTAGGGGGAAATAGTATTTAGAAAACTCAGTCTTAGGCACTAAGGGTGCTCATTGCTACTGAATCAGTTACTGTTTCTTGGGCCATCACTTTTATTTTACCAGTAGATTGTCTATATTTTTTACATTTTACATTATTATTTGAGGTATTAATCCATTGAGTGACTTGAAAACTCAACTATCAGTGCTATTTGACATTGGTCTTCCTGAGAATTTGAGAAACTAAACCTAATAATAGAGTAAGAGGGAAATAATTTATGTTTGAAAAAGAATGTGTACTATATTTATCTTTAATTTAATAGCATAAATTATTAAATAACTTAAATTATTTAACTTTTATTAAATAGTATTTTTTGTTTTTATAAAGAAACTTATTTGTAAGGATAAATAATGCAAGAGTCAAGTTGTTTATATTTGTTTATTTTGTCTTCATTTTTCACATTGGGAAGTTGAATTACAGTGAGGCCAAATGACTTATATGCATCCTCATAATTAGTTTTTAGTGACAATGCTATAAACTGTTTTTCACAAAAATCAGATATCTTTTTTTTTAAAAAATTGTACTTTCTTCCCTAATAAGAAAAAGCAAACATAGGACATAATCTTTTAAACCATCCAGAATTAAAATGAAATTTTATAAGTTCAAATGATAAATTATTTTTTTTTAAATGTATGAGGATTTCGTATGCATGTTTTGAATAAAAATGTTACAATTTCCTTTTTTTTTTCTTCTCAGTTGTTATACCACATCTACATAAGCTAGCCTTGGTGAACAACTTACAAATTGTGGATTCTAAAAGACTGGATATTGCTACTCATCTTTTTGAAGCCTATAGTGCACTTTCCTGTTGTTGTATCCTTGCTTTATTTAAAGTGTATCTACATTTATCTTACCAATCTCGCAGTGAACCTCAGTTGTTAAAGATTGAGAAAAACCTTTTTTCTTCAACACTTATATAAGGATTGTAGAAAATTGAAAATTTGACTTGATTTGCCCCACTCCTTATTCTAGCCATCTCATAATTTTAAAAGATAATTTTTAAATCTTCTATGTTTATATTGTCTACAGTTTTGAAAACATTGATGAGTTTCTTCTATTTATGTTAATGATATAACTAAGCAATAAATGAAGAGCAGAATGAATTATAGCTGAGACTTTTGTTAATCAAAAGGAAGCCTTGTATATGTCCTGGCATTTAAGTTTTTCAGTGATTATTTAACTATCAGTATCCACTGGAATACTATGAATATCTCTCAGAGAAATATCACTCATTGGAAAAGTACAACATGGCTAATCATTTCCAGTGATTGCAGAACTGGGAGAAAACTTAGAGATCACCTAGGCCAATGTTAACCACTGTATTGTAAATGACTAAGGCTTTAAGACATTAGTGACTTCTGTTTTTTATAGTTAAAAGCAAAACTGTGACTGGAACAAAGAACTTTACCTATCCTGTTAAATGTTCTCCTTATTATCTATGCCTGGTAAAATAAAACTAAGAAGGAAGTAGAGATAAGATGGGCAAAATGAACTCCAGCTTCTAGGCTGTCTTATTAAAAGGCAGTAGAGTTCAAGAAAGGGGAAATAAGGGCCGGCCTGTGGCTCACTCGGGAGAGTGCGGTGCTGATAACACCAAGGCCACAGGTTCGGATCCTATATAGGGATGGCCGGTTTGCTCACTGGCTGAGCACAGTGCTGACAATACCAAGTCAAGGGTTAAGATCCCCTTACCGGTCATCTTTTTTTTAAAAAAAAAAAGAAAGAAAGAAAGGGGAAGTAGATTGAAAAAAAGAATGAAAGGCTGAATACTCAAATAGAACTGTAAAGTACATGATAGCATAATCAGAGAATTGTGATTATGATAGAAAAAATTATAATAGAGGTTCCTAGTGATTTATAGGAGAAAACAGAGTACAAAGAAAGTTTGAGGACTATTATTTATGGTTCCACATTGTTGTATAACAGTTCAAAGTAATAAGCAAAGTGGACAGGTAATTTTAAATAAGATAAATATGTTCCAAAATACCACTGACATTCATTGGTACTAGATTGACTGGAATGTACCAATGGGAGGTTATTTTTGTTCAGAATACATTAAATAAGGAAATAGAAAAGTACAGCTGTTAAGGAGCTACATGTTCTTTTTTTTTGGAAATTTTTAAACTTAAAGTTGGATGCATGGTTGGGACCCTTTTGTTTGGGGAATCTACTACAAATGACCTAATCATGTGTATAGTATAAGCAACATTTTTTATAATATAATAAAGTGATCAAAGATGTAGATCTTGTATAAGTTAATTCCACTAAAAGCAGAACTTACTATCATTCCTGACTTATCTTGTTGGCATTTTCAACTTAGACAAGATAGAGGAAGCAAAAAGAGGAACTGATATTCTGAACTAGCAAGGAAGAATTCTTTAGTAATAGAGAAGTGACAGGACCCTTGCAAGAAAATAATAATGGCATGTCAAAGTTTGTATCTCAGAGAACACATTAGTACATTTATACCTGTTCTTTAGACTTTGTGAAAGTAGATCTTTAAAACTTAAGCAAAAAGTCATGTATAATCTTATACAACAAAGTTTCTAAAGGAATATGCCTCAAGGAAAATGAGGAAGTCAAAAAATCAAAATTTTTAGCTATGTAAAAACAAATTTTCTAAGTGGGAAAAGCAATGGTTTCTAAAGAGCATAGAAATCTACATAGAAGGAATATTATTGTGTGTTATGCACATAATATTACTGGAGTAAATACAGTAAAAAGTCTTTACACCAATACAGTAAGGGGAAGAACCATCTTAACAATAGTCACTGTTCAAGTACCTAAAGTGTCAGTTTAAAATGAGTCAGAACTTACACTTGAGTCAGCAGAGGGGTGTGGCCACTAATTAAATCACATTGTCCAAATCTTCTGCTGTTCCTTACATTCTGAGCCAATCAGAACATAAGAGTATTCCCTTCAGTACTGACATCATATTTTAATAGGGACATAGAAAAACTATAGTGTATAACATTTGGCATACTAATAAGTCAAGAAGTCATGTTTAATAAGTTTGAAGGAATTTAGAAATGTTTAACCTGGAGGAAAGATGGGTTTGAGGATGAAAAGATAATTTGACAATTATTTTAAAGGTTTTTATGTAGAGGAAGCTTAAGCACACTGCGTAGGTGGGGTATAGAGCTAACACTAATAAGCAGAGGTTACAAAGAGGCTGATTTTGTTGAGCTGTCTAAAATTGCAGTGATCTCTCATGAAACTGAATGTCCTGTCATTGTTAGCAGTCAGATGCCTTTTGACCATCATTCACTCATGAGTCCTAATATCAGATAGGACGAAATGACCTATAAGTGTCCAATCCTTAAGATTGTGTGATTCCATGGGGGAAAGAGAGGCCCCTACCATGAGTAGAAAGAGGAGAGTGACTCCCCTCTTGTCTCCAGATAAGGCCATCTTCAGCTTCTCAATCCATGCTCATATTTCTCTAGATCAGACTCTTAACCACTAATCCAAAGGTCACTCACATTCTGTCTTGGTGGTACTTTCCCCATATCTATAAATAAGACTACATAATCATTAGGTTCCAGCCCTCTGTATGTTTATAGGGATTCAGGTTCAACCAACTGTCTATTATTTTTAGTACCTATTGAATTTATAAGTCACTTATTATAGGAGCTTTGTTTATGAACAATTTTTATAACTATAACTATACTTTCAAGGCAATAGTTATATATTACACTAATTTTTTTTCTTAATGAGATTTTTTTCCAAAAAGACTAAGTCTTCTTTATAAGGAAACTCGCATTTACTGGTATTTTTCACTTTAATGTGATGTAGTATTAAATAAGAGCTATTTTCAAAAGGCTAACAACTACAGTGATAAGGTGAGAATGCACCAGAATTGATGTTAATGAGAAATGCATCTACTTTTTTTGATTCCTTTGAATGCCAAGATAATCACCTAAAACTCAAAGATGACCAGGAACTACAGATAGTACTAAACTTATAGCAGAAGCTATTATTACAGCAAAAGCTCTCTTATCCAATTGAATCAAAACCAAGAGTAGGTCAGTTTAACAGAATGTTACAAGAAACCAGGGAAACGGTATATACCTTAGATAACTTATTTTAACTTAAAATATATAAATGTATTTTCTTTTACCAATCTTTTGATGCGGGATTGGGACATTTCTTTTGTTTAAATCTGTTAATTATAGTAAAACATCTTTTTTCTCAGAAAACCACATTCATTATGTAATTGTTTATGATTTTTAGTTTAAGATTCTTTAAAGAGGATCCAGAAACATTTCTGATACTGAGTATAGAATTTTTCTAGATTTTTATATTTTTCCCAATCCTTTACAATTGTCTTACACATAATAGTTAAGTAGCAGTATTTTAAGCAATTTGTCTTTATCAGTTTGACCCAAAACTTTCAATTTAGTTATCATGGAAACATTAATTTTCTTTCTTTTCATACTTACTTCATACTCATTTAAATGTCCAATTAGATTACACTTATTGTTTCATACATTTATATAACATAATTAAATTATGGAATGTTATAATACAGATACCCCTGAAATACAAAGGTTTGTGGAAATAAATACATTTGACTCTTGAAAAGTAAGTTACTCCACTAATGAGGAGTCATACTTGAAGTGAGCCTGTTTACACTGAGCAATTAGTATACCACAGGCATCAGTTAAGAGGGCTTCTTCTTTATACGTAACCTCTGTTATTCTCTTGGACATACCAGTTTGGTTTGTTTAAATTCCCTTAACTACCTTGTTTTAAGTCATTTC